TGTCCGGTTTCTTTCTCAGCTGTTCATGTTTACTTAAGAACCAACTACTTCACTAGGATACTCACCGAGACGGGCATTTTTGACAGAATTTAATGTGAATTTGTCCGTCCAAGCGCAGGAAGGAAGCAGAGCTCAAGACGCAGTGCTTCGGATGTTTAAACGTCCCTCACAGCGTGAGAGTAACGCGTGTCCTTTCGCGTGTTTTAGTTCTTGAATATTTAGACTGCAAAGCCTTAACGCTTATGCTCTCATGACATGCACTGTTAGGGCTTATAAAAATGTTACCGGCCATCTGGCGACTGACACAGTTTCATATCCTCACCAAAGCCCATTTTTACTCGGATCCGGCACTTGGCGAGTGTTATTTTAGGCCCTGCAGGTAAGGTATTGTTGGACCTAGGGATGTAACGGTATGAAAATTTCATATCATGATTATAGTGATCAAAGTTATCACGATTATCAATATTATCACGGTTTTGTTCAAATTAGATGAAAACGTTCAAAAAGAACTGATACACACACTGAAAACATTTCAATAAGTTTTATATTTGAAAATCAACAAACAACAAATACAATTAGCAGCTATATGCACTTTTTTTAGCATAGATACGCAAATGTCCTCATAGACACTTATGCCACTTTAGACAAAGACACTGCATACCAATTTTCAAGTCGATCGGACCAACGGTTGCGTAGTTATAGCTGTTTTTCTGTTTTTTCCTTCTTATAGTGCCACCAAGTGGCAAAGCTGCGCATTTTTTTTAATATTACCAAAGATTGAGCTCCTACACATGCGTATCGAGTTTGGTGAAGATATCTCATTCCATTCATGAGTTAAAGCCATTTTAGTAAAATTAGCCCCGCCTCTTTTGAACGATTTGGCGCCCCTTTGCGACCGTGAGTTGAAAGTTCAAACTTTTTTTGATAATTATTCATAAACACTGTCCATAGATTATTTCTGCACTGGTTTGGTTCTGATCGGGCGAAAAACCTTGTTTTTTTTTTGATAATTAAAGTCCAGAGAATTGTGCTGCAGTGGTTTGATCGAGATTGAGCAAAAAAGTAGGTTTTTTACGTAATTGAGAATATTTAATGAACGATTTGATTGACAGCAATGGTTTTTGAGGCAAAGTTGCTCGTTATGAGGAGATCTATCAAATGATATGCATATTGTGGGGATGACTGAAATTTTTTCGACTCTACTTGACTTCATCCTAAATTAAAAAAAATAAAAACATAAAAAAAATTAAAAAAAATTTGCGGACGCGTCGAGTATAAATCAGCCTTGAGCGTGTGTGCGTTAGATACAGTGAAGACAGCGCTTTAGTTTAGAACTCTTCTAATTTATTATTTTTTTAATTGTAGAGAGTGTTAATTTGTGCAGTGATAACCTACCAGCAATGTAAATGATTTTTAAAATATATTAGAATGAGTACATTACAATATAAATGTATTAGAACGAGTACATTATTATTTATGGGCTTAAAAACAAGATGCAAACAATCAGAATATTGTACCTGGTGGGGAGTGCCCAATGTAAACATGAAACATATGCCATTACCGATATTGTACTGTGGTACAGTTATGGAGGCCCTTCATAATGCAGAGGTCTGGCCTGCTCTGCCAATAATTAGAAATGGCACTATAGTGTGCAGTGTTTAATAAATAGCTGTTTTACTAAATTCTGCTGAGGTGAAATTCAGTGCAGTCCGTATAGTGATACGTATCGTATCGTGGCCTCTGTATCGTGATACGTATCGTATCGTGACTTTGCTGGTGATACACAGCCCTACAGTTTACACTGTAATTCTACAGCAGAATACTGCTAATATGCAGTAATCTGATGGCATTAACTGTAACTTCACAGCTAAATACAGTAATTCTACAGGAGCATACTGCTAAATCACAGTAAGGAATAACTATCACAGTATGGAATAACTGTGAGGTCACAGTATACAGCTGTCATTTCACAATTATTTACTGTAAAAACGATACAGTAACTTGCTGTGAAAGTAATGTAACTAGTTTACAGTAATTTACTGTGAGTTTACGGTCAAATCTTTTACAGTGTAAGCCGTACATACATGTACCATCTCTGCAAAAACATCAGCAATGTACACTTTTAAATAGAAAAAAAAACCTCCTTTAGACTGGGCTTGAAATAACACATTTCCCAACCAGGACACAGCACAATGTGTTCAGTAGGTGAGCCATGCTGGCTACTGCTGCTTGCTATTGCTAACTCTCTCTACCACATGGCTTTACTTAAGGAAACCTAAAACACCCTAGCGGTAAGGAAGAAAACTGCCCACAAAATTCTTATTAACAGGCTCATGTCTGGCCCACACTGGGCCATCATTGGATTAATGTAGGCAGTCCCATAGTGTGGGCTGCTCACAGAGAGCCTGCGGTGAGCCCAAAGCACTGGGCCTGTTTTAGGTTTGGTGTGGGCTGGCCCTAGCCCACTGTGCCTGCAAAAAGCCAGCATGGGCCCCACAAGGACATGTTTGCAGGGTAGTGACTATTTATTTGATTGCCATGCTGCCTCCTTTATGCTGTCCATTTCCTATTTTCTGTCATATGATCAGTCACATGACAGGCAGACCCAGAGTTACTTAAAGACAGACACCATAGGTCTTCAGCCCTGCTCCTGGGGACCCACTGTGCTGCAGAGTTCAGCTCCAACCCTAATCAAACACACCTGAACCAGCTAATCAAGCTCTTCAGGATCATGTGTAAAGTCACAGGCCAGGTGTGCTGAAGCAGGCTGGAAATAAACTTTGCTGGACAGTGGGTCCCCAGGAGCAGGGTTGAAGACCTATGATACACACATTTAAATAGTTAAGAGGAATAAAATGACTAAGACAATATGTAAACCTATTAAAACTCAAATATACAGAAAATCGTTATAATATATTGAGCAGATTAAAACACGTGTCTTATGTGACAGTGTCACAATACAATGTGTAGCACTCAAAATCTACAGTATGTAATATGTAATACTCTATTACACACACAAAATGTTACATAAAGTTGGTCTGAAGCAGGAGTAGATGGACAAAGAGGCTGGCCAATAGAAAACTATGAGTCGAGTCTTGAAAAGACAAGAGCTTAGATGAGGAGCAATATGTAAACCTATTAAAACTCAAATATACAGAAAATCGTTATAATATATTGAGCAGGTTAAAACACGTGTCTTATGTGACAGTGTCACAATACAATGTGTAGCACTCAAATTCTACAGTATGTAATACTCTATTACACACACAAAATGTTACATAAAGTTGGTCTGAAGCAGGAGTAGATGGACAAAGAGGCTGGCCAATAGAAAACTATGAGTCGAGTCTTGAAAAGACAAGAGCTTAGATGAGGAGCTGCGATGTGTATTTAGACAGGATTGTCTGATGTTATACAGCAAGAACCTGCATAAGGTAGTAAACAGTTACGCTGCAGTCAAGAGTGGAAGAATTTAACATTTAACACTTGATCTTATACAGCACAGTTGTAAGATAAGACAGTCACTTGCTCTGGGAAAGATCCTTCTTCATGACTGGTTTGATTACCAAACTTGAACATTAGCTTTCCATTGAATTTGTTACGATTCAACAGCTTTTGTAAGTGTAATATAGTCCATTGTCACAGACGCACACTGCACAGATGGCAAGTTCTTCACTTATACAGTTTTTACTTTAATATGATGTTTGCAATTTACATTTCAACACAACTGTTCTCGAATTTCACGACAGTGTTGGGTCACTGAAAGTAAACGGCATATGTGACTATGCATTATTTTATGAGCGCTCACATCCTAGCTAAGCTCTGGTGCAACCAAATTAAGTACAGTTAGTTAGTTACTAACTAGCTAAGATTTACTGAGCCTCTAGTTCACTGAACGTCTAGACTTCTTGTTCTGATTTACGTGAAATCTTACCCACGTCAGTGCACAAGATGTGGGAAAAATATAAACACTGTGAATAAAACGTAAATGTGGATCGCTGATGAAGCTGTATTTACATGGCTGGAAAAGGTGTCACAAATATGGCCATAGTGTGAACTGTCTTGCCTTTCAATGGATTTGATGTCAGCCTGGTGTCAGATGCTGTTAAAGCGGCCCAGAGTCATAAAACTGTGCCGTGCCCCAGATCCCAGAGCACCCGGTCATGGCAGCACCACACTTCAACGAACTCCCACACAAAGCCTACATTTAAATGAGGAGATAAAATATGAGATCGTCAGTAGAAACCACTCAGATGGGTGTGTGTCCTGCGTTTAGACTGCTGTAAAACACACACACCTCTGTTGTCCTTGAACTCTCTGCGTGGAAGACCCAAACATTGTAGAGACCCCAGACTCCCCACCACCTCCGCCGCACACACATCCATCTCTCACTAGGTGTAGAGGTGGTGGGGATGTAGTTCTTTTTTAATTAAGTACTTAATCAGTTTATTTATTTTGTGAAAATTAGCCACAAGGTAGCATTATAAGCTAACTTAGTTTTTCACCACCGACTCCAGAAACATTAAAACTACAATACAAAAAAATCCTCTGAAAGTGTCCGTGAATCAAATGGCCATATGCAGATGTTCCCAAAAAAAACACTTCACCACTACAAAAATAAAAATCCAACTTGTGCTAGACTGTTTGTTTGATTGGCATGACTTTTTGTGCGTATCATTAAAAAGTTATGTTTTGTTTGATTCGTTTCTTTAGTAGATACAATTCAATGCATTTATCAGGCATTGAATATTATTAATATTCTCTGAATGCAAAGTGCAATCTTCATGAAAATGAGACGGACAGCATTTCTTACATTCCACCAGCAGGAGATGCATTAATTACATCTTAACTCAACTGTTCAGTGGAGGAAAGCTGAATTACACCACATTTCAATCATACATCTATTGTGTTCTGCTAAATTTGGAAACTGAGGTAATATTTCTTCCATTTCTCAATGTGCTTGAACACTGATTACTGCCATATGCAGTTATACAATCTAATTGTTTTTGGACTTTTATAACATTTATTCGTATAAGATCAATACAGAGCAGATACAAAAGAAAGAAAGAAATTGTATCTGTGCTTAGTACAATCAGTAGTGACTGTTCATCAATAGGCACCAAATACACATTTTTTCCCAATACAGATGTACACAACAAAATGGATGCTGATTTCAACAAAAATACACACTTACACACAAAAGAAACATCAATAAATCAAACTTTAAATGACAATTCAGGAAACCTCTCTGCCACCTTGGGTCTGAGCAATACATTAAATTAAACCAAATCAAACAGTGGGGTAAGAAAATGTCCACGAATCTACACAGAAATGTCACTTTCAGGAAATATGTAGCACTGTTTGCAGATCTGATGCTCTCACTCTTGAAAACGACTCTGTAACAGTAGGTCTTAAAATGATATTCTGCTTCCACTGAAGAAGCTTCAGCTTTCTGGTAAAGGTGTTGCTCTTGTGACACATAAGAATATTTGACAGTTCTATTGATTTCAGTAACTTGGCTAAGCTGTAAGCAGGAATCAGCACGTGTAGACGAGAGGTAGTTTGATGTTCATACCGTACAGGTTTAAAATAGAGAAACCGAGCACAGAAGAAAAACAACCATCTCTTGGGAAGGGAAGAGATCGGAGCACTCTAAACTAATGCTTTCCACTGCCTTACAAAGTCAGGGACGATGTGGATCAGTCATCCACGGACTCAAATATCTAAAACAAAACCAAAAAAACCCATACCAACTAAAGCTACAGAAGAAACTTCTAATGACATCCTCGAGCTGTACTGACTCTATACACCATACATTCAGAGCGAGTGTTTGCAGTTCTGCTCGTCTGGAGACAGACACGATTCAGTAATGACACATGGATCATCTGCTTTGATACAACAGACTTTGAAATATACATTTTGGATTATATGACTGTAAATGAAGCCCTTTCAGTACTAGCAGGTGTGCTGGTGGGTTTGTGTGGCCTGTTCCAGTGTGTGTGTGTGCCGAGGGAAAGACTGGGCCGATCACACCTTGGAGAGCAGGCCTGACTCTGGAGCGCTGGCTTTAATGATGTTCTGGATCTCTTTGAACTTTGGGTGCTCTTTATCAGCCACGAGCTGCAGCAGAACAGACTCGCTGGTGGTGACGATGACTCCCGCGCGCGCCAGCCGCTGAGAGAGAGAGAGAGAGAGCACACACAAGTGTTAGCTTTGCAGCCCTCACTGCCCACAGACCGTAGTGCTTGAGTGGCCAAAGACCATTTGTGGAGGATAGTGACAAAACAAATGCTGCAATTATCTTTTAGTTTGCTTTTCGCTCTTTGTATTTTATAGCTGTATATGTATCTGTAGGTTGTATACAGGGCTTGACATTAACTTTTTTGCTCAGCATCCACTGTGGCTAATGGTTTTCAAAAATGACTGGCCACTCAGCATTTTCACTGGCCACAATTTTATTGTTGGAAATGACATTTTATATACAGTAACTAAAGTTACTGCATACTAAAATTGATTTAAATTGATTTCAAGGTCTTTTTTTGCCTATATAAAGGGCAGTTTTTTCTTAACCTTATTAAACGCACGCGTCATCTTTCATATCAAATTCTTACATTTTATTAATAATTTCACTTCATCTAATAAGACACTATAGGGCTGTTACCAATCAAATGAAATCATTATGAACAAAACCGATCTTTCCCCTGCAGAAGAAACAGAAGCGGCTGAAGTGTTTAGATGCATTTACACACACAGTTTAATGAAGCATTCACACTGCAAAAGTACAACAGCATAAATAATACGAGCTTGCTGTTTTAAATCTGTTTTTTAATATACAAATATGAAATGTTGGGGACAAAATGCAAAGATAAGATACTTTTAAATATGAAAGTAAACCGCCAGTAGATCTTAATCAGTGAGTCATTAATTCAAACGATTCGTTCAGACGGCTGATTCATTTAAGAATGAAGTGAGTGCCTTTCTTTATGAATCACTGAATCATTGACTCAAATGATTCTTTCAGAAACGCTGAATCATTCAGTAACAGCGCTGTGTGTCGCTCAGAGACGCGCGACTGTTTTGCTGCGATCTTTGTTTAAACTATTTTTGTTAATCAAATCGAGCAAAAACAGTCAACACTGACAATATTGTACTAAAATGTAAGTCACTTAATATGAACTACTCGTTTGAACTCTTGTATAAAATCAATGTCAAATTTGCAATCATACTGGTTTTCAAGGAAAACTGCACTTTCTTGGTCGTGTCATGTTGCTTAACTAGGCTATATCATGTATTATTATATTAATAAAAAAACTAAATTTTTACCGCATTATGCTGCTTCTGTGTGCAGTTGTGATCATTTGTTTTGATTTCTCCACGATCCTCAACTCAGGTCAGTTGTCCGGTCGGGCAAGTAAGATTCGGTTTCACTTATCTTGGATGTACAGTAAAGCACTTTATGACGCTTGCTCTAGAAAGGTGCTCTAGAAATAAATGACGTACTACTTGCCCTTCAGACAATCCACATTAATGTCAAGCCCTGTTCCGGTTACGACCACAGAGATTTTTACAAAAACCAACATATGTAATAGAGTGCATATATATCGATCAAAATGCTCCTCTCTAAAGTTACTTTTTTTGCTGACTAACAGGTTAATGGTCATTGAATGTCCACCCTGAGGAAAATACACAAGCTGTATTAATGACGTCTTTCTGTGGATGAAATGCTGATTGAATTATTAGATGAGTCATGATTCATTTCAGTAAGTTTGTGCTATAACTAATAGTGAAGAGGAAGAGAAGATCGAAACTGAAGCATTCAGCGATCTGTCACGCCACATTAAAGAGCATCAAAACTAGGGATGTAACGATTAACTGCGAGCCGGTTGAAAATCGATTCAAATATGTGACAATTCAAATCGGTTGAGATGCTAAATAAATCGCGATTCATTTAGGGGTAGTTTATGAATCCATGTCTGAGGGGAACTTACTGTCTTTAGAAAAGTTTAGATGCAGGGCTCTACAGTGCGACTAAGACTTGCCGCCACCTGCTGGCAGTTTTAGTTTCATTTTTAAAGTATCTTTTCAGTTATTTAAATCATTTAATATTTCTATATTCAAAATTTTATATTTAAAACATTAATATCATCATGAATTTATGGATTTAATTGCACTCATTCCACTTCTGAGCCTCATTAAATTTCTGAAAGTACACCAAGCCTCTTTTGTGTTCTTCTGTGCCACCTCTACAAATTAATTTTGTTAATACTGATTTCATTTGATTGGTAACTTATATTTCTTATTCTACTTGTTCTTATTCTGTTGTTTTAATTAAAAAATTTTTTAAAAGCTTATAAAATATACTTTTTAAAAGATTTTTACAAAAGATTACATACTTTTAATACAGTTAGAGTAGTTTCATGCACATATTTTTATGCAGTTTCACAAAACTGAAGTCAAACCATTCTGTTTTTGCTTCAAATTTCAAAATTATACAATCTAATTTAGATTAAAAACTGCTCGTGTTGCATGTATGCAGCATCTTTGTTTGGAGCATGATTAATTTTAATCTCTAATTTTAAATGGAAAGAGCACAGACAAAGCCTTAGTTTGTTTATATGAAGAGATTTATTTTATTTGTGTTACTTATTAAAAAAATAATAATAAAAAATCGTGAATTGAATCGAATCGTGAGTTGAGTGAATCGTTACATCCCTAATCAAAACCACATTTATTGCTTGAATTTTGTTATAAAACTGACAGAATCTGAAAGCCAAGGCTTTGATTCACATCAAAAGCAACAAAGCACAAGGCTCATTGTGATTACTGGATGGCATCGTGTTTAGTGAAGTTTTGTTCACGCATAAACTGAAAACAACATAGACTAAGAGACCTCGGTTCATCAAAATAAAGATCACAGTCAAACACGCCATCGCAGAAAGATTACACATCTGTTCACAGACTTTGGTGCATCACTGGAAAGAAAGCGCTCAAATGGGACCCGACTTGTTGGCGTTCAGAGATTAATAAATGACCTTTCCTCTCATTTTGTTCTGATTTTTTAGCGGTGTCTATCGATTACACAGCAGCAGATGATGTAACGCTTCACTCAGCTCACGATATGATTCACTATAATACTGATTTCACCATACCATTCTCACTTTGGTGCATCACTGGAAAGAAAGCGCTCAAATGGGACCCGACTTGTTGGCGTTCAGAGATTAATGACCTTTCCTCTCATTTTGTTCTGATTTTTTAGCGGTGTCTATCGATTACACAGCAGCAGATGATGTAACGCTTCACTCAGCTCACGATATGATTCACTATAATACTGATTTCACCATACCATTCTCACAATATTTTTAACAATGAGATTTAAGATAAAATATAAATGAAAAGATGTCCTTTTATTATTGCTTGAACAAAATGCTGCACATTTCTTTGTGAAATTGAAATATGAAATTTTAAACACAAATAAAAGACATCTCTTCATATAAACAAACTAAGGCTTTGCCTGTGCTCTTTCCATTCAGTCAGAGGCAACCACTGCATTTTAATCACGATCCAAGCAAAGATGCTGCATACATGCTGCAATTTGAAGCAAAAACAGAACGGTCTGACTTTAACTCAGTGACATTATGCTACATAAAACATCTAAACAGCAGAAGCTCTGAACGAGACGCAGATTCACTCTCTGACAGCAGGTGGCGCTCATGGAACCGCTGCGCTTACAAACACTACTTTAATATGCATTATACAGAGACCAGATGAAAATAAACCACTGTCTAAACTTCTCTAAAGACAGTTCCCCTCAGAAATACATTCATATAAACTCCACCCCCAAATGAATCGTGATTCGTTTAACATCTCAACCCACCTGAATCATCACAGATTGGTATCGACTTTCATCCGGCTCGCGGTGAATCATTACATCCCATCATTATGAACAACACAGCTGCTCATTCACATTGTCAACACTTTAGAATTGAGATTTACATATTTGATA